ATATATATATATATATATATATATATATATATATATATATATATAAGTGAAAGAAAAGAACACGGAAAATATATGTATTTTTATATTAAAATAAAAATTTTTTTTTCAGAAAAAGATATTAATTATATAATTATATTATTAATTATATAATTATATTATTAATTATATACAATTGTAATTAGGATAAGACTTAACCTTCTGAGGACCGGCTATTTTTTTATCGACTTTTTTATTTTAAGAGCTAGAACTTTTTATTTTAAGAGCTAGAGCTTTTTATTTTAAGAGCTTTTTTGTCAATGTCATTAGATTGAATGGGGAAAAAGCTGACACCGCCGTCGCGCCGATATATCGGCTTGCGGTCCTCTAAAGGTTAATATAAGTAAACAACATCAATTAGTACAATAATATTTTATTCTTTCTACATAGATCTACATGGCATTATAACTAATGACACTTTATCATAATAGGAATGTTTTTAGGTACAGAGGATTCGAATGGACCACCATGTAACTCACGTAAATATGTATGTTCATACTAATTTGTAAATTTATAAACGTGCGAATTAGTTCGAGTAGAATACGAAACCTCTCAGCTCACTTGAGAGTTCCGTTGTAATTATGTTATTCATTGCTTCCGTAAATTTGTTGGTAAGCTTGAAATAAGAATTTCCTAGAGCAACCCGTTTTGGTATTTCAGTTTATATCGGGTTTACGTATATCGATTAACTTTATTGGCCCATAGTTTATGTAGGTTAATATTTACATATAAATACATGCATACTTGGGCGAAGATTAGATCTACATTTGTCAGATTATCACCGTCAGAGAGGTACGAACTACTCGCGATATCTCGTGATTATCAAGGATACTCTATTATTGTGTGTTATCACACGTTAAGATAAATGTTATAGGGACGGTTGGACCAACTTGCTGTTTCGGAATTGATCCAAAGTTCCTACTGGTATATAATCACTTGAATAATCCATCACATAAAGATTTAACTAGAAATCTTTCTTTTCAAATTGAGAATCAAGTTGGCGCAATGTGTCCTTTATTATGTATTCTTCCACAGCGATATTTTAACGTTTACGGGTCGTTTTGTGGACTATAGAACTAGGTCCATATTGCTGAGCCTAATCTCGAGCAAAACATGGTTGCCAACGTCGCATCTGATCTTGCAGCGTTTCATCAGAAATCGGATATTATGTATTTCGCCGTCATATCAAAGGCTGTCGTAATGGATTTACGTCTTGTTGAACTGTACAGTGAGTCGAACAAAAATACTCAAAGCTGTTGAAAATTGTACTGTTCTAACAAATCTTTTCTGCACGCTTATAGCTGTTTAAAAAATAAGAAATTTTTTGGGCATTTTGAGATCAATGAAAGTAATAACTCATTCAAAATGGGTTGCTGAGATTCGTGTAAAATTTTTATATTGTCCATTAGTTTTTCAAAAGTTTGAAGTCACGAACAAGTTATTTATTCCCGCCATATTCTCTGTTTACCTTCAAAATAAAAGATTTTGCTACGATCTTTCACGTTTTTTTATTGTTGAGTAACAAACAAAAAAAATTTTAAGGTGCACAAAAGTATGTTGCGGTAACTAATTTTAATGTGCTGCTATTCATCGTCACAATGCATGAATTTATTTACGTATTATCGTATTGAGGCAAAACGCGATTTGCATGAATACTTGCGACGGTACAAGGTTCGACTCGCGCGTCTGCGGTAGAGTTAGATTACTTGAGTTTTAAGTTTAGGTTTTTAACTCAAGGTTCGATTTGTTAATGCGAGTTTAAATTAAGGACAAACTTGATGTTTATTTGCAAAGATCGTAGCATGAATTTGGCCAATTGCGCGGTTGCTAGGGACTCAAAGTACAAGAATGCAGAACATAAAAGAGGCGAGGTCAGCAGTAATATTTTGTACTGCTTTATGTTTGCTGATATTTGAAATTATCGAGAAATATCATTCCCGATAACTGCAGCAACGAGTTCACGAACGAATTGCGATACCTCTACAAGTTCGATAATATTAGGACTGGAGATCAGAATGTGGAAAATATTTTGGCGACGGATGCCAGTATTGGTATTTATTACGGCTCCGTTTATTTGCATTACTTCTATGCAAATTGCTCAGTATAGAGAAAGTTAACCCTTCCAGTTAGTTCGATTTTGATATTTCGAAGTATTTCTTCATTCTTGTTTTGTAATTTCCTTAGTTTAGTTTTAAAAATTAAAAAGATTGTGAGAAACACTTATTTTATCAATTTTAATATTTGTATAGTGGTAGTTTTTTTATTATTTAATAGATTATTAATAACGTACCGTATGTGTGTATGTAAAGTATATCTATTGTATTTATTTATAGCGCATGTTTTCTAAACATTGCATACTGATACACGAAAGTAAAACTTAAACTGATTTCTTGAAAGAGAGAGAAAATTATGGAAAATTGATGTGATTTGTAACACACACGTAGATACTGAAAGGGTTAAAAAACTAATCGAATGAAAAGATTCGACTTGAGATTTTGACTTCTATCATTTTGTTTTTGATACGAAAACACGACGTAATTCATTTTATTTACTGCGTTCATCGAATTAGCAACTCACTTACAAGTCTACATTTAAATAAAAATGAATAGTTAAGCCGAGGAAATAATAAGAAAAACTGCGCGTTAATTACATTACTGATAAAATATATTATTGATATTTGAGACCAGTTCGAATTTATAGACTGTAATAGAGCTATATTTATTAATGCAAACATCGGTAAAACCTGATGAATAGTAGTACATCGAAATTCCTTAAAAAATTAACTAAAAGTAAAGTAAGCGTCTCTCCGATCTTATCTCAGCACTTAAATTTATAAATATAAATATCGCTATATGAACTCTGAGGTGTATGGTAACCTTGGAATTTGGGATAGAGACTGAATTCAAATTTATACAACTTTCACACACAGGACGTATTCGAAACTAAAATATCGTGAACATAATAAATAATACGCGAAATCAATGTACACAATCTATTTGAACCTCTTAGTACTAATCCAAGGGAATTCAGGACGGAAAATCATTAACGCCCCAGAATGTAATATTACGATGTTAAAGTCGCATTAAACGTTATCGAAGCTACATGCCACTTTTGAATCCGCGCGATATGATGGAATTAGAGCGACCAATGTCACGTTCTACAGTTTAGAAATAGGAAGATAAACGTTCCCTATGTATATCGCATAGTTCTCTACTTCCAAGCACAGAATGACTCGTCTTAACCTCAAGATATTACATTCACGACGCAGCCTGAAAAATAATGGATTCGAGAGTCCTTTGTGGCTGCAGTAAGTTGTCATGATCCGTACTGAAGCTTCAGTCTCCCATATACATGGAGTCTACCAGTCGTCGAATCGCAAGCCATAATGTCTGTCATTGCCATAACAAAAGTCACGTCAATCCTTGGAAGACGGCGGGGATTCCCTGCTGTTGTCGCTGGTGAAACTGGACAAACCGAGGCCACCGATCTCGTGGCTAGACGAGCCTGTCGGGGAATTGCTGCTGCTTCTGGCACCGCTCAGAGGCGTCACGTTTGTGCTATCCGCTGGTATCAGACCCTCTTTCATACGCTTTTTCTGTTTCATTCGCCTATTCTGGAACCAGATCTTTACCTGGGTCTCGTTGAGCTGCAGCGCGGACGCGATCTCAATGCGTCTCGCTCGCGTCAGGTACTTATTGAAATGGAACTCCTTCTCCAGCTCGGTGAGTTGCTTATTCGTGAAATTCGTGCGACCGGTGTTATTGAAGCTACCCGGGATTCCGGCCAACGAGCCGACGATACAATTCACTGTTCCACTGGCGGTGGTTGCGTACACCGACGAGCTCGTCCCCGCGGTCGCGCCGCTACCGAACTCGACGTTGGGGTTTGCTTTTGTCGCTGAAACAGATTTATTATTTTTACGATAACAATTGAGTCGTTTTCCTGTGATAGCGAAGCAATTGCATACATACAGAAGATCAATACAGTGGTTGATTTCATTCTGTATTTTTTGGTCAATTTAGAATCAATTTTCCTTCAACAAACTAAATAACTAAAAGTGAAATATTTCTCTTGAGTTTCAAGAATATTAATTTATATCTTTTGCATAATTTAAGATATTTTTTATTGCAATCTTAATCCTTTTAATCTTAACCCTTTGTATATAATATTGAGTCTGTGAGATCCATCGATATTCGATACTCGACATTGATATTCGATTGTTCACTAACTTTCGTAAAAGTGTTGAGAAAATTTCAGAATAATGCAGATTTTTATTTTATTGCGTTACTATTTTATATTTTTCTATGTCTGTGGAAAAAATGTGTCTATCAATATCGATTTTCAACAAAGTTTTAGTAGCTCAAAGTTGTTCAGGTCTCACAGACCCAAATTGTATTGTATATCCTAAAAAATATGACTCTATACAGAACGTTAATTTAAATTTAGCTATTGGACATGTGGAAAAGATTTTTCACCAATGACAAATGAACAAATTTACTTGAGATATTTTTGCAAATGTTAATCGATTAATCTAAAAACATTCTATAATAAGAGACATAAAATGTTTTCTGGCAAAATAATTGACTAAATACGACGCGACCTTCTCATTGAATGAAAACAATTGTGCTGTTTCCAATTTCGACGTAGCTTTCTAAGCAGAGCGCGTAACAGACGTAGATGCAATATGTGTCGAATTAAGATCAAGTCAAATCCTTTAAGCGACAGTTTGCCGGCCATAACAGCTGGTCACTACTCTAGGAACAGTTTTAGGGATGACCTGTGCAAAGCTGAATGGACGGTAGGGTTGAACCCTAATTCTGGATCAAATTGCATCAGCTGTAGGAAAAACATCCGAGGTCGTAACGTTGTTACGCAAAATTTGTATTTTGTCTTGCTTTACCACTGTTAATAGTTCGTAATTAACCTCATCAATTTCTAATTTCTGCCACCATCTTCAGTATTCAAAATAATTTTGAGAATTATTCTCAAATCATGGAGCCCAAGTTATCGTAATCTCCGTCAATATTTCTGCCGTGCCAAGGAAAAAAGGTTAAGTCACATTTTTAAGAAAAATGTGTTTTTATACTAATAGATCAAAATTCATTTTTTCAAAATTCATTTCTTTCGTGACAAAGAACTATATCTAACTATATTGACAAAAACTAAAAATTATTATTATTTATTGATTTATTATGAAATAAAAACGGATTAACTTTAGGTAAAAGTTTTTGCGATTTTTTTTTTCTTATATTTTCAAAAAGCGTTTCGAGTAGTAAATATTTAAAAAATTAATTTTTTATTGCAGAATAAAAAAAGCGTATCCGATTTATCCAATATATACTTTTCATAAAGATTCACTTTTCCATTACGATTCTCTAAGCAGTTTTCGTCGATTTTCTCAGTTTAAAAGCAAATGTAATTAACCACTTTTTTCCTTAGCATGGCAGATTCAATATCCGATCGTACTGTTTTATCGCGTCGATATAAATTTGGTTTGACAGATAATGCAATTAAAATATCGCGAAAACAAAAACAGCGCGTTTTGACAGAAGGATGGGGGTACATTATGAAAATTACATTGTTATTTAGACTATAGTATGTAGCAGTCAATTTACTTAATGGCAGGGGATGAACGAAACTGTCAAGCCACCGCCTTAAAGTCACGTCTTCCCCATTATGTACATTTTCCTTCGATATTTCCACCTTCTTTCTTCGATATTTTTATAATACATTTTCTGTTCTAAGAAATTACTTTCTTTGGCCATCTGCAAAAGGTAGCTTACTCTATTCCTATTTAGTATACATTACACACATGCGATACAAGATACTTGTGTATGTAAAGTGTCTGTATATGTATACCCGTGTGTAAATGTGGGTGTGTGAGACTTTCACGAATTTCCTAATATAAACGGAAAGATCAGTCACTTATACCTGGAGTCCTGAACTTAGCCTGCGGCCATTAAGCTTACGCTTTTCCAAGCCGAATAATAAACTTGGACAAGTTCTATTAGGCGTGCCAGTGCCAGATACAATGAAATGTTTCTCGTTTCCGCGACTCATTCATCAATTTAGCACTTTAACAGGGGGACCGGCTGCGATGTCGTTGATTTTCTATACTAACCTTCTTCGGGAACGAGGCGTTGTATTAATGCAACGTAGAAGAGATATCTTCAGACTCCGATAAATTATACGACAGTGTTGCCGATATATTTATGCACAAAGATTTGTGTGTATAAGTAAAAGATATTTCAATTTTTTTATTAATAAAGGTCATTAAATGAAAAAAAAAAAGAAAAACAGATATTTTCTCATGCATTCATGATGCAGAATTATATTATAAGCACAAATCGAATACCTTTATCCCAATAATGTTACCTTAACGTCATATTGTGTGTAGAAATTAATAGCTATGTAAAGTACCTAATTCTGGGAACATTTGCCTCGTGTATACGATATTGAGAAAGTGGGAAGGAGGAAAGGATTGGTGTAAAGGGGCGTACCATGAGAGGCCAGGATCCTTAATAACGCTGAGTCAAGGGAGGCGTCGACGCTTCTAATTATCTTCTATAAGAGATGTAGATGCTCCTTCAGAGCCACCTTTTGCTTTACTATGATTATATCGTTACTACTAAATCTCCTGTAATATCGTGTTGTAAAGAGCCTAATTAATCATGATGTGAGTCGTCAGATAAATTTCTCAAGTGGGGGATGTTGCGAAAAATTTATTTAATAACGTGCAGTATTTAAGATACACATATATACATGCCATTATGTACAATGTGTGTGTGTGTGTGGTAATATATATTAATATGTATGATTTATTAAAATTCCCCTTATGCATGTATTCTTGAATAAAAATTCTCACAGTATGTGGACACCGCAAGTGTTTTAAACTGCAGGCCGTTGAATTAAGTCAAGAAACGATGCATATATTTATTTAGGAACTTAGGTAGCTGGCGTTGATGCATATAATCCAGATATTAGATACAAATCAAACACAGCTGGACCCTCGATATAGCGGTATCTACGTTTTGCGTCACGAAAGAGAATTCTTATGTATCACGACTAAGAGTGAAATTCCGGGATTACATTCGTTGCGCAGATTGTGCACGTATCGATCGGAGCCCAGAAAATTCTGTGAATTAGGAAAGGCATCAGCGCGCCCGTATCTATCCTTCCTGTAACATAATACACTAGCATCCTACGTTCTTCTGTATGCGTTTGCCATCATCCTTTCTTGCGTCCATGAGACGCCCCCACAGCTTTTAGCCTTTGAATAATATTTGAATTGCGTAATGTTCCTTGAAAGGGGAAGCTGTCGACGTATAAGAACACGCACAAGAGCAGATAATCCTATGTGGTCGAGAGATTGACTTTGCTAGTAGCTGTTGTTTTTTCGTTAGACGTAAGGTAATATCATTGCTACAAGAGAATCCGAAAATTTTGTCATCTCTCATCCATCCTCGCTCTAACACAGCTACTCTCTCTCTCTCTTTAAAGCCTTTCTCAATTCGTGGCGTATCAAACACGATCAAATCATTGGATATATACATCTACACTTGAGTCAATCGTTTCCTCTTCCTTATTTCCTCATATTTTAGTGTTCCTCGTTTTTCCAGCGACGTGTCTTTCTCCTTTTTTTCACCGTAAGGATTTTGATAAATGGTAATATTAAGTCAGGCGTAATTTAATCGAACGGTTCCTTTGAACGAAAGGTACGTTGGCGTGCATACGGTTGGAAACTACACAATTAAGTATCGTATACTCCCATCACGCACGTACGGCTTATGCGTATGCGTGCTTCGAAGCATTACGTATGCGTTTTTATTTAATATCAAAAATCTCGCAATTTGCTTAAAATCAGCAATTATGCAATGCGATACATGTACATACAAGCAACAATTGTAGCGTAATTTTATGTGTATATCCGTTTAGTATTATGTTATATTCGTCGATGTCGTTGTGAAGCCGAAACGGATAGTATCTTAAATATTATTAATATGCATGTATGTGAATACATCGCTAAACACAGTAATGTATTTATTGTATAATTAATATTGTACTAGTATCGTGCATACTTTTCTTGTATAATCAATTGCATTACTGTGGAAGGTATATCAACATTTTTTTACTATACTTAGTTCTTATCACAGCTATAAATGCTGTTATTAAGCTTACTATTGCTGAGTTTCATTGTGACGCACAAGCTCTTTCGTTATGTGTATTCACAATCTTTCTTTGCAGTTACAAATATATATTATATACAGGATTGAGCAAATACGTGTATTTAAAAGTATCTGAAATACATATTTAAATTTAAATTACGCCTCTTACCGCCGATTTATATTAAGTAATAATTAATTACAAAGTTAAAGATACTTAATCATTTGCTATTTAAATACTGTATTTAAATAAGACACATATTTAGATATATCATATATATTTTATATATATCTTAGATACTTACAAATATGTATTTGCCCAACCCTGATCATATACATATTTACATATGAAAATGTAAAATAAAAATTGAAGACACAATTTCAATGAAATCCGATTTCGGCGTTGGATACTCGCGAAAATAATTATTTTGTGTTTACAAACAAGACTTATCTGTGGAGTATCAATGAAATTTTCCAAACCACCTGACCCGCCTGCGAAATTTTCGTCGGGGATATCTATCTACTCGGTTTATCGCATGCGAGAACTGACAAAACGATTTCGTCGGCACAGTTCCTTCCATTCGCAACCCCTTGTCAGTCATCGTCGTGCCCCGCCGGTCGCGTTGATTTCAGCATTATGATAGGTAATATCCTGAGTCACAGTCGAGTACGAAAAGGCAACGTTGTGTACCATAACGGCGTACATAGAAGGGCTGCGTGCAGCACGTTCGACAT